AACTGGGTCAAACTCCAAGGTCAAGGTCAAATATGATGGTACCCAGAGAAAGGTCACAAGGAATACACATGTGAAAGATGAAAGCCATAGCTCCGACCAATCAAAAGTTATGGGCAATGTTGAAGTTTTCGCGGACAAACAGATAAACAGACAGACAGACGGACGGACATGGCAAAAACTATATACCCCCGAATCTTCGATACGGGGGCATAATAAAAAAGCTATCATTAAATCAATTACGCACTATTATTGAGAGTGCCCTTATTGTAATTTACAACACGATCTTTTTATGAGTTTTTAATTTTAAAATCAGGAATAGGCCTATAAACCACAAAGTATCATAATCACATAGAGCTTAAGTATATGTATAAAACCACTCTCTTGATAAAATAATTGCAGAGTTCTTGTCTTTTTACTTAGACTGTATACAGGGAAATTTCGTACCGTGTTAATTTCGCCCTTTCACATTTGCAAGCAATTTTGCCTCGTTTTAAATTCTCCCAGTCACAGTTCTGTTAAAGAAATTAAACTGTTCTTTGAAATCGCTCGTTTCAAATTCGCCCAACTGTGAATAGGGCGAAATTGGCGAAAATAAAACTTGGGCGAAAATTCCCATGCATATAATATTTATCTAGATAGCAATGCAAAGTCCATGCTAAAGCAAAATCGTCTATCACCTCTGTGTTCCAGTTTATTTTAAGATGTATGTTATGTCATTCGATAAGCAGGGATCAATTATATTGACACATTCTACTATTGCTAACCCTGTTTTCTGTATCGTCATTTGCAATCCATGCAGAGCACGCTTATTTTACCTCGCACCGATGTTATTTTGGGGACTACTTTGTGCATAGGCTGTCATTTCAAAGTCTACGTTACTGAATAAGTGGCTTCCACTTGCAATATCGTCGTCTTCGCAGATGTATATATCGCTTATCCCATAAACCCTTTCGTCGTCCACGTTGTTACGGAAACACCAACAACAAATATTTCTCTTGCGTCGTTCACGCTGGTAAATGACAATAGATATACATATAAGAGTTCCTCCAAATAATATCAAGAGCGCACCACTGGCGACCAGCGTCTCCAAGGACACAAGATCAAATATCAAAATCTGCTTCAGTCCGTATATAAGCAAGAAAACACCAACATTTGTAAAGAAGATTGCAAGTAATGCAAGACAACCATATACCTCCTTTGAGAGAAATCGAATTGTTTTCTTGGCGATTGTTTCAGACCTTCGTCCCCGGGGAAAAGTTGAATGTATCATATTTGAATAACTATGCTGTTGATTTTTTCACGTGCCTCATGTATAATCTCATTGTTAAGTATATATACATATGTATATTGTAGACTGAGATGTATTTTTATATGGAATGTGAATGTACTTGTGAAGAAACAGCTGTCACCCTCAAGATAGAAATCAATGGAATTGACACTGTGACTAAGCCCATTTGTCAAAAGATATTTGAAAAAAAAATAATGTCTAAGTCTGCATGTACGATGTGTAATAATGTCTATTTGAATGGAGTTAGAAATAACTACATTTATAACAAGTTAAATTAATGCAAAGCATCAATCGGCCGCAAAAATATGTTTGGCATTTTAAAGTATTTCCACAAGAAAGAGACCAAAGAAATAAATTCTAAATAGAAAAAGTGTATGATATATTTTTACACTTACCTTGCATGTACTTTTCTGTGCATTTTTTATACTTTAATTTTCAGTGATCAATTGTTAAATATTCACGAAATAAATAAATTCATGGATATGAAAATTGGACTGAGATAAAAGATAGGAAAGTATAATCTATTAAATTATTTGATTCAAAGACAAATGCAACAAATATCTGAAATGACTGAATGCTAACAAAAAAAAACTTCACGTACTGATACCATGGATCTTTCTCACGTGAGAATACCGATCAATGTTGTGTTAGATATGTATCAAAGTAAATGTGAAGTGCAGAAAGAAATTTCATTGTGTCATTTGCAACTGCAGTGTATTCAAGTCAAAATTCAGTTCTTCTTAAACTTTTTACAATTTATTTAATTACTCTTAGGCACTGTAATTCATATCCGGAAACTCAATACGTTTTATTTTATATCTTTCGCTAGCCCATGTTGGAGAACAGTTCATGTAGCAACTTTTTTAAAAAATCATAAATTGATAAATATCTGATGAGAAATGAAAAACAAATGGAAAGTAATAACAACCATTTACACGTAGTATTAAGCAAATTTTTAGAATTTTTATTCCCAACTTTTATGTATTTTATAAATAAGACATTATTCCAATGAAGCAATGAAAAAAATAACGTCTCCTTTCCCCATGTGCACATTCTAACACAAGCACAAATAGATTGGCCGCTGCTGCGGCCGATAACAAACATTCTGTCAGCGATGCGAATAAGTAATATCACTTATTCAACGTACATAAGTGATATCAATTATTGAACCTAAATAGATGATATCACTTATAAAACATTTATAAGTGATATGTATTATTTAACGTGAATATTTGATATTACTTATTCACATAAATCTATTAGATGATATCACTTATTGAACATGAATTAATAGATGATTGAACATTATATAAATATTGCATGTAGTTGAGTGTAACGTTGAAAATTTTCACCCCAAGAAAACTATATTATTTGACGTGAACACTTGATTCACTCATCGAACACGGAATAGTTAATATCATTTATTGGAATAGATTGTCACTTATTCAACATGGAATAGATGGCATCACTCATTCATCAATAGGTGATGTCACTCATTTGAAGCGGTATGTCACATATTCGAATAGGTAATATCATCTAATCATATTGAATTGGTGATATCGTAGAAAAGAGGATATCGCTTAATCCAATAGAATATCATTGAATACATAGAGAATAATACATACTCTTTTCCATATCACATCCTGTATCACCCCGAGACACCGATATCAGCCACCAGGCCCGAGGGCTGATATTGGTCGAGGGCTGATACAGGATGTGATGTGGAAAAGGGTATGTTTTATTATGTTTATTACATACTTAGTAATAAAATGCACACATCAATTCGAGAGGAAAAAAACAATAAATAATCATGCACTGACTTCTGACATGTACATAGCATATTGTATTAAAGAACAGAAAGTACCAAAAAATATGTGTATCACCACAAGTACTGTTTTTAAGGTTTAATTTACTAGGGGTGTGATATTGATCCATATCGGCCCTGCAGATCCATATCAGCCCTTCAGGGCTGATACGGCTATTGTGACGTCAAGCATATCGCATATACAAAAATTCCTGTATTTATTTACTAAGTATGTAATAAATAGAGAATAATACATGGCAAAATCTGTATCACACCCTATATCAACCCGAGACTCCAATATCAGCCCGAGGGCCGAAGGCCAGAGGGCTGATATTGGTCGAGGGTTGATATTGGGTGTGATACAGATTTTGTCATGTATTGTTGTTTTTATTATATATTTGAAAATAGTGTCAAAAAATCATATATAAACCTGTAAATTGATTAATTCTTAATAATTGAATATGTTCTTTTTTTTCGTTGAATTTCCTTTCTCATTATTTTTTTCCAAAGGCAATGTTTACAGTGATAAGAAATGAAATAATTATAAATTAAACAAAGAATTATTTTGAATAGCATAAAATATCTGATGAAAATTTACAATTTAAATAAACTTTATAAACAAATAATAGAAAAAGATCCGAGGTACTCTGAATGAAAAATACAGAGATGTTCCGGAAAGGTGTAATAAAGGATGTGATAAAGGGTAAAATAAAGGGTGTTGATACAGGGTGTGTAATACAGGGCGCGTGCCTGTGTTCATATCAGGGATGCAAAAATCCTGTATTATTGAACAAATATATAATAAAAGAAAATATCCAAAAAAGCACCTGAGAGTCGTTAAATGAAGTATAGAATGGAACCTCTGTAAATGCAGGCACGATAATGCCTCGGTTTATTCATCTCGATTTCGTATTTTTTATTATTATAAAAAATGAAGTTAGAAATATGATGTCAAAGAGAAATTTATTTCCTCGGTTGCAAAAAAATGTTGCTTCGATAATGTAATGCTTGATTAACTTCATTCGAAAGGCTGATGAATCACTGGAATCGATATTGAATTACCCACTGCATATAGGAAGCATGCATGCAAAACCATGGATGAATTACTTTAACTAAATCGGCTTTGAGTAAGTACAATTGTACTTAATAATATGCGTCATTTGCATGGTCGGCACCCGTATACGCTGCCAAAAAATGAGGTTACTACAAGACGTTATAAATGATTAGTATCTTTATTGTTCCGTAGAAGCATTGATTTTAACTGAAGTAATAAAAAAATCTCACGAATCTATTCTCTGGGCATTATATACTAGATGTATGTTTAGTCGACTTGAAAGACCAAACTAAAATTCGTTCACCGAATGACACAGCTAGAATAAATGTTGACCAACCTTTGAATTCTATAGCCCAAGAGTTTTAAGTTCTAAAACACGATAGGCATTTAAGGGATGTGTGAATGGTTGGACAATTTAACGAACCAAGATCTATAAATACTCGTAATTAAAGGTGAAAATCTGTTTCAAGGAGGATGCCAATTTTACAGTAATAGACTTTCGTTGATGTATAGGCCCTTTGGTTGTGTACCAATATAAGACTGATATGGAAAACGATTGATCAGAGCGATCTTTAAACAAACACAGTTCCGATCTTTGGCGTTCCGGGTACACTGTGTTTGATTTGTATTTGATTTCCCCTGATACGCAAACATAAACTTATCTTAAATAAAAAAAAGATTGAAAAGCAAGTCTTATTAACTTTTAGATTTAAAAAAAAAAACACGTACATTAGATACAAATCAAATTTTATTTTCCATGGAAAGTTTGCATTTGAAAGTAACATGAAGCAGAGAGAAAGACTTCAAAATAATGACAAAATGCAGTTCTGGTAGCTAGCTCTAAAAGTTATTTCTCACCATATATGTAAAACCCCCAACTTTATAGGGTGTGAACAAATCACGGTTGTGTTGGAGGGTGGTGGTAGTTTTTGGGAAGCACGGCGGTTGTAGGGTGGTGACAGTTTTTGGGAAACGGGGTGGGTTGAAGGGTGGGTTGGAGGATGGTGGCAGTTTTTGGGAAACACGGTGTATTGGAGAGTGGTGGCAGTTTTTGGGAAACACGGTGTATTGGAGAATGGTGGCAGTTTTTGGGAAACACGGTGGGTTTGAGGGTGGTGGTAGTTTTTGGGAAGCACGGTGTATTGGAGAGTGGTGGCAGTTTTTGGGAAACACGGTGTATTGGAGAGTGGTGGCAGTTTTTGGGAATCACGGTGGGTTGGAGGGTGGTGGTAGTTTTTGGGAAGCACGGTGGGTTGGAGAGTGGTGACAGGTTTTGGGAAGCACGGTGGATTGGAGGGTGGTGACAGGTTTTTGGGAAACACGGTGTATTGGAGAGTGCTGGCAGTTTTTGAGAAACACGGTGTATTGGAGAGCGGTGGCAGTTTTTGGGAAGAACATTGGGTTGGAGGGTGGTGGCAGTTTTGGGGAAGCACGGTGGGTTGGAGGGTGGTGGCAGTTTTTGGGAAGCACGGTGGGTTGGAGGGTGGTGGCAGTTTTTGGAAAGCACGGTGGTTTGGAGGGTGGTGGCAGTTTTTGGGAAGCACGGTGGGTTGGAGGGTGGTGGCAGTTTTTGGGAAGTACGGTGGGTTGGAGGGTGGTGGCAGTTTTTGGGAAGCACGGTGTATTGGAGAGCGGTGGCAGTTTTTGGGAAGCACGGTGTATTGGAGAACGGTGGCAGTCTTTGGGAAGCACGGTGTATTGGAGAACGGTGGCAGTTTTGGGGAAGCACGGTGTGTTGAGGGTGATGACAGTATTTTGAGCATAAATTACCTGCCACTGAACAAAAAGAATATCAGTAATCTGGTAAATTGAATTCAAAATAAATTTCCTAGCACAAAGAAAATGTACTGTATTTTTTTTTTCAAATAAGTCTTTGTAATCTGCATGTGAATTATATATTTTTTTTTCTGTAAGTTCGCTTGTCCGATTATCAGGTCGAAATTAAACTATTTTAATTTTTTATGAACAGATTTCGAATTTGTATATTTTTGTCTAAAATAGAATCAATATAAACTGATATATCGAAGGATTTATTTCATATACAACAAATAAAGCTAAAGAAATCCAGTGGGCCCAGGCAAATAAACCCCCGCAGTTTGGGCTATTTTCTACAGAATTTACCGTTTAATAGGGGATCAGTGGAGGTATGCTATATAGCTTTACATATCATTTTAAGTTAGGAAAAGTAAAATTCAACCATCATAAATCAGGTGGTATTTTATTTCATAACTATTTATACGCAGTTCTTATGTATTTTGCAACATCTCCAATCCTGCCTGGTTTCTTAGTAGTCATAAACAGTGATACGCATTACAAAAAGTGAAATATTGCAAAATATCAGCGTTTAAAGATCAATTTCTATTTTCAATACAATACTGATTGCAGTGATGCAGAGTATTTCATCCAATCACTAACTCGTCAGTACATAGAGACTTAAGAACGATAACTCTAACATAGCTACCTTTTTAAGAATCTCCTCCGTCCCCTTACTTTATTTTTGAGATTTCGTTTGGTGTTTTGTTTGTTTTTTGCGTGTGTGTGTGTGCGTGTGTGTGTGAGGGTGTGTGTGTGTGTGTGTTGACTTGCAAGTACAACAGGGCATTTTTTTGAAACCATGTAACAAGAGTATTTTAATACATGAAAATGTATGTGACAAAGGGGAATAGTCGACATTAAAGAACAACAGGCACTTGGCATTTTTTCTCTTCTTATTAAAATTTAAAAAAAAATCCATACTATTATAGTAAATTAATTATAGAATGGAATTTATTTTCGGAGGAGAAATTATTTTTTTTATTTATGAAGAGAAATGTGCCTGAGCATCAAAGGTCTAGTTATTAGGATGACATGCCCGGAAGTTAATACACTTGGCAATACATCACACTCACTTTCATTCTGACCATTTAACTGTATAACCACCGAAAGATCTAAAGCTTACTGGAGATCAATTATTCTAAAAATGAGAAATGAGAAAACAAACTGAAATGTACAGAAAAAGATCATGTTGATGTCAGCTGTGTTCCTTTTCAAGGTTATTCGTAAATAATTACAGACACCATTTTAGAAACTGCACTTAAGATCACAGTATTTTGTACTTTATAGATATTAAAAGCTGATCATGAGATTCAAAGAAAAGAAAAGCATCTGAAAATAAGTCGATACTTGGTGTGAGTTAAGAGAACTGAGAGAATATTTACTGTTTTGGCAAAAAAAGAAGAACAAAAAAGGGGTGAATCCTCAATTTTCTTATTGTATATACTACCCATATATATTAGTTAAATATCAGATTGGTCAGCAAATTTATGCAAAATAATTAATGAATGGCCGATTTTTGATGTAATGCGCGTCTCTAACACACACTCTCTCAGAGTCAGTCTATGTGACTATACCAGTAAGATACACGCCTCTTGACCAAAACGGTGTGCAATGGATAACCCATTTGTTCTCTTACTTGCATTGGTGTTTGAACATTGATACTGATTTAAAGACAAACCAGAAGAATCAGCTAATATGTCCAACTTTTTCTGCATCCTCACAACGTCAGGGGTCGCGAGTTCACACGTGATCCCATGACCAAGTGTGGACTCAGGACACCTGACTTATATGTAGATTGACAGCAAAAGCAAATACAACCAACTACTCAAAGATTAAAAGTATAAACCATTCTGTCCTAGGGTAATAAAAAGCTTTTTCAAACTTTTTTTCTTCTATGCTTTGATCTCAACAAATGCGAAGGATAATGAAAAAATCCGAAGAAGCTGGTTCTCGTTAGATTGCACCAATATTGATTAATTGATTGATTAATTGTTGTTTTACGCCGAATCGGCAATATTTCAGCCATATTTCGGCGGTATGAATTTAAATATTGTAGGAACGGTTTTGAAAGTTTTAGGGTTTTTCTGGCGGCTCCAAATGAGCCTACTCTTTTTGGAAAACCAGGCAATTGAAAAAAAAATGGTTTAAACACCAACTGAATCGATTTTTTTTTTTGGTTGGTTGGTTGGTTGAGTGTAATTTTCAGTTTTGGTTGTGCAGTGATCCCAATTTCGTTATAAAACAGGGACGCAAATGCCCCTATTGTATGTAAAATCATCCTTTTTAAGGGAACTTCTAAGAGACTGTCCAAAATAAAATGTGTATTTTCGTATACTAGCTGTGGTAAATATTTCAATTTGTAAACTAAATTGTAGTCCAAACGACATGACAACAAAATATCTGATTTAAAAAAAAAATAGGCCAATCTTTTGATCCGCAATATTCCTGTCCAGTTCTCCATCAGGCCAACCCTGGTCCAGGTATATAAATGAAACCATTCCAAATGTTTTTTGAGTTATTGCCAAGAAACCAAAGAAAGATGGAAGGACATGGCTGATCCTTTGTGATGTGATTGACTAATTTTTTTTAAAGAGAATTATGAAGCTGCAGGACCCTCGAGTTTTGTACTGTTTTCGGAACCTTATGATGGTATGTTGGCCAGCTATCCATCAGAATCAAAGTTCAGGATAACAAAGGAGTTAACTTTTATAATGGAAATATTTACTTTAAAATAATCAGGAAAAGGTTATATTCTTTAAAAGCAATTATACTAGTATTCACTACATGTGTATAAATTTAAAAAATATATATATAGAAAAATCTATATTAATATATATATATAGAGAGAGAGAGAGAGAGGTAGAGATTTTGTTTATAAGACATTTAGAAATTTTTATTTACAAAAACAATCATTATGGCATGTAAACAACAGATATATCACAGATTTTTTCAAGTACATGTACATGTCTGTTGTGATCAGGACGGATGAAAACTACGACGAGTGCGTCATTTGAAATGTCACCATGAGATAAATAAAATTTCTTTGGTTTGTGGACAGAGCAATTTTGGCTGCATACAGTTCAATCAGAGTCAACCGGATGGCCGCTATCCGAATCGGATGGATTGCGATTCATGACGTCATCATTGACTGGTGATCCGAATGACTTGGAGCGGCTATTTGATTGGTCACCTCCAGTATCCGATTTGTCGTGAGATTCTTGTCGCATGGCACTCAATGTTTTTCTTTTCTTTCGTCGTTTTCTTTTCTTTATTGAATCTGATGTCTCCTCATTCAGCAAACTACAGTTTGAAGACTTGACCGACTCTCTGTCAATAAAAAGGAATAATGAAAAATGATGCATTGACATATACCAGTAAATCATAAATCGTTATATAAACTCAAAATTTTGATTCATGTATACCTACATGTATATCAAATATTCTTATAGTTATTACTCAAAAACTCAAGAATTAACAATACTTACAGCTTACAATATTAAATGACTTAAAGGGTAATATGTTGTGAGAAAGAGAGAGATTAAACAGAATGATGCTTATCAGGTGCAACTATTGAAATTCATAATTTTCCTTTAAATGACATATTTCAGGCAGAACTCAATGTTGCAGAATGTGTAAATAGTGTTTATGCAACTAAAGAATTTCTATAATAATAAACAGAAATATACTTATAATAAAAATCAATTAACACATACACACTCTCTCTCTAATTATATATGAATAATTATATATAGATACATCCACCAAAGTTTCTTTCAGTTTATTTCTTTATGAAAACTTACTCACCAGATTATAACTTGTAATCTTTGGTGTTCTCCAATAAAACATGTATTTCATTACTAAACATAATCTTTGATTTAACACTGAAAAAGCTTATATGGTGTACTATTGGTCTGCAATATTTTGTTAAGCAATTCTAATTCATCCCAAATTCATATATATATATATATATATATATATATATATATATATATATATATATATATATATATATATATATATATATATATATATATATATATATATAAAAGAGGACACACGGAATGGAATCTTAGTTCAAACAATAAATTGCGAACTTTGAATCTCTTTCCATGCGTATAAATGCGTTAGGACAAGAAAAATATTTATTTTGTTTTATTTTCTGACCCTAAAACTTAACCAGAACTCAGTATGACCCGACCCAAGAGGACACACGGAATGGAATCTTAGTTCAAACAATAAATTGCGAACTTTGAATCTCTTTCCATGCGTATAAATGCGTTAGGACAAGAAAAATATTTATTTTGTTTCATTTTCTGACCCTAAAACTTAACCAGAACTCAGTATGACCCGACCCAAGAGGACACACGGAATGGAATCTTAGTTCAAACAATAAATTGCGAACTTTGAATCTCTTTCCAAGCGTATAAATGCGTTAGGACAAGAAAAATATTTATTTTGTTTTATTTTCTGACCCTAAAACTTAACCAGAACTCAGTATGACCCGACCCAAGTGCTTGTATCAGCTATAAATCAGTGTTGATCAATGTTGTGGTCATTGCAATACTGACCCTGAGGCATTTTCATCCACTAAATGCTCTCTAGCTTTCTGTAATTTTGGCAGTTGGGGTTCCTTGGCAGTTTTCTTGGTTCTGTCCATCATCTCATCCCCTCTCTTCACACCCTCTTCTTCGTTATCCTCTTTCTTATGACGCTTTCGTCTCTTTTTCTTTTTTCTACAAGTCTCCATTTCGCCAGTAGATCGGCTTTCCCTGTAAATGCCCTGTCCATCATTATCAGAACAGGGTCCACGACTCCGAGACACGCCCACTTTATCCGTAGTTTCTATCGGTGGTAAACGACCTCCCCGTGGGGATGGGAAAGTATAGTCTTGCAGAGGGAAAGCTGATAAATTATCATCTTTTGTATACCTCACTTCATCTTGTTCTAAATATCTGATTTCACTTTCATTTGAGTTTGAAACATCGATCGATCTAACCATTTCTGGATCTTTCTGAGAACACAACACAGTTTCTCCGGTCTCTGTAGAACTGTTTTTCCGCTTGCTCTCCGTCACCTCTTTCTTGAGATTTTCTCTTTGTATTCGTTCAATTTCTTTCCTGTAAAATGACTCACTTCTAAAGGACTGACGAGGAGACAATTGACGTTCAATGTCTGGAAGTATAATGGGTTTCCAAATAAACTTCAAGATGCACCCAAAAACGATCAGGAAAACTGAGATAACTAATATAATGAGTCCAGTTATGTGCAGTGGTCCATACACCGGAAACGATTTTTCATCACTAAACGCCACGAGTGTTATAGTTAAGCCAGGTATGGTAAGGGGAATCGAAAAGGTAATCATACATGGTCCAACCATACTTTTGATTTGGTCATTCCAGTACTTGCTCTGTACCACATCCATATTTCTGGAGCCTGAAACACAAATTCAATACCGAAAATGGCAATCTAACGGGGCAAACTTTTGTAGACAGTTCAATTAAAAGTAGGAATCGAAAAAAAATGTTTACAGTTCAAAATCTAGATCCACGTATTGACATTTTAACAACACCGGATGTCATTCAACGACTGGGTCCTGGTATTGCGTGACCGTATTTAGCATTACGTATACATCCTATTTCTCATCTACAGCTCAGAAATCGAACCTTACCGCAGAAGGAAGCGTGCTTACCTGGACTCTCTTCGGCACTCTGTTCAATTATTCATTTCTTCCCGGTTAAAATTTGGTCAACACTGCTGTAAAGATAATCTAGCATATCGTAATAATTTCCATCGTGGACGAGGGTACTTAGTTCTTTAACATTAAACGTAGTCACAATGTCATTCGATCAATAGAATTTTTTTAGCTGTTTACACACAGCTGAAAAGCATTTAAAAATGTTGGGTGGGTGGTCCATTACACAGAACGCAACACTCTGGTTCGCAATATTGGTTTGTCTTTGAAATATAGGAAAGATCTCGTTTCTCCATGCTATTTTCTCTTAGTTCGATATACTGCAAAACAAACTGTACTTGCCTTGAAGATTTTATCCAATATGGAAGGTTCTTTCTTTGTAAGACTCCATGTTTGTTTTTATTTGGCGTAGAATCCATAGACCATGTCTATCTATTATTAGGCCTGCGTTGAAAGACGTCCAGGTGAAACGGTGTGCATGTTTAACTTCACGTCGTCATAGGAACTATTATAATTCAAAACCTGATTGAAATCTGTCGTTTTGGCGGGACTTCATTCCAAATAAGTTTCAAATGTATATCAAACGGTCAACTGATCCACAGAAGGGGCGAGAGAAGCTTGTGTATTTAACGGATGTACTTTAATATTCTTAACAACGAATTCGTCTTTGTATACAACTCTCCTTGCAGGATTTGGTCCCTTATATTTACATTTATCCCCCAGAAGAGAAAAATACGGACTGGACATGAAGCCACCTATGAAGAAAAATACAGCGGAGAGTGTAAGACATACAGGTCCGATGATCCGAAATGATAAAATAGAATCCGTCGGATCTTTTTCCGTGTTAATTACAATTGTCAGTATCATGCCTATCACAAACAATGGTTTACAGAAAACGAAGATGACGGAGCCAATGGTTTCAAGAAGACGACTTTCTGTACGCACTCTCTGGGAAATGTCCCTATTTCTGTTCCAGCGCTCCAAAAATCCCATTTCTATAAAAACAAGAGGACTATGGGTCACAACGCTCACCCGAGTCACCCAGCTGTAGATTTAAATCCCCCATCTTCATTCACAAGAAAATTTCTGACCCCATATTGTGGCCTAAACGTAGCCCCAAGGGGTCCTGGCATAACTACCTTGAATTCACCCATTCTTGGGATGGTTAATTATCAATATGACTAACATGGCCTTGCTGTTCTGGAGAAGAATATATTTCTTAATTTTTTTACTGATGCATGCTTTGGGTAATATTTCAGTATTCCAACTGCAAAACATAACATGCTTACATATTGATTTCATTAACCATGTCTGTCATTAATAATAATCATTAATAATGCTGTTCAGGAAAAGAAGATTTTCCCTATATATTCCCACGTAAAACTTTGATCCTCTATTGTGCACCCTAACCACCCTCCCCTGGGCTGGGGGCACAATTTGAATAAACTTCAAATTTTCAATCTCTACTGCCTGAGGATTCTTGCACTAACCGTGGCCCTTATCTGTTCTATAAAAAAAATTAAATCATTTTGGAATGTTTTCTTATATATTCCAATGTAAATAAAATGATCCCTTATTTTGGCCTGACACTAGTCCCAGGGACATTGATTTGAATAAGCTTGAATTTACACGGCCTGAGGATGCTAGAAAATTGATATCACTAATCATGGCACTGCTGTTCTTTTGAGAATATTTTTAAAATCCTTTTCGTTATATATACCCATGTAAATTATTGATCGCCTATTTTGGCCCCACCCTATCCTAGGGGGTTATGAATTGAACAAATTTCGATCAGTACATGATTTGAATAAATTTGAATCTCACTACCTGATGATGCTTGCATATAAGATATCACTGACCTTGCTGTTTTCAAGAGAAAGATGTGAAAAGATTTTTTCTATATATAGCGTACCCTAACCGCAGGGGTCATAATTTGAATAAACTTGAACATACACTATGTCAGAAAACTTTCATACTAGTCCAGTGGTTCTTGAAAAATATTTCAAATGATACCACCAAATATTTCCTTATTTCTTAAATTACACGCATATCCCCTTGAAAGACTGCATGGTCAATATGAATCCCTTTTACCTAAGTATACTTTATGCTAAGTTTGGTTGATATTGAATCAGTGGTCAAAATGTAAAGAGTTTACAACGACATCGCCAACACCAACAACAACGACATCAACGGACAAATTTTCAATAGAAAAGCTCACCTGAGCCTTAGGCTTTGGTGAGCTAAAACTTTGATAAGAAAGAAAAAATATACGTTTTCTTCGGATTGACCAATCTAATCTAATTTATAATTATGGATTAATAACCCCATCTTCATAGGAAATATGATTAGATATGAATCAGACACATGGCTAGCGAGGATACGAATCGAACACTTGGTAGTGAAGATACGAATCAATCCTCTAAATATGAGATATCGTCTTAACATAAACTCTATACTAAATGGATTTTACATACATTCTCCTGGATTTTGTTTATTTTCAAGCATTTCTCTCTTTACATGAAACAAATTTAAGCTTGGCTCTCTTATTGAAGAAATCAAATGCCATTACAATTAGACATTAACAGATTAACAAACCTCAAATAAATAAATAAACAAATAAATAAAAAGGAAAAAAACGAACAAACATGATATCAAAGTCAACATCAATTCAACTATACAGAAATCTTTAAAAATCATTGTATAATCTGAAAATCATTCCTTCAATATTGCGAGTTTTCTGATAACTTCACAGTAAATTTAAATAAACAAACTCTTTTTTACATATATCTACCAACTGTTCATGTAATAATTTTTTCTGACTGTCAATCGGGTTCTTATACATATACATGTTTGGATTAGCCATGGATTCTCATTGAAATTTTAAGAAAACCCAATCATTTTAAGTGCTATGCATAACTCAGTATTAAAGTTAAAGTCCGTGCAGCAGAGGGGTAAATCTTTGCAAGTCATTATAATGACTTTATTGACTAATGTGAACTTGTTGCGTTTAAAGGCATCAGTTTCATTGACTTTGTACATTTAGAAGTTTAAAAATTATAACAAAGAATTTTACATCTTCTACACCACCTAAATGAATTATGATTCAAAAATCGTATCTTTCTAAGGGTCATATCACAAATAAGATTTAAATGCCTCTACCTGTCATAAGCTGAGTGGTGTAGTGGATCAAAGAATGAAAACTGATACTCAGGATTTTTATCGCTTGAGTTCAAATCCCCAAAATCTTCTTTTTTATGTCCCTGGATCGAAAGATCCCGGGGGTATATTGTGTTTGTCCTGTCTGTCTGTTTGTCCGTTTGTCTGTCTGTCTGTTGTCAACTTTAACCTTGCCCATAACTTTTGATTGGTTGGAGCTATGACTTTCATAATTCACATGTGTATTCCTTGTGACAAGACCTTTCCTTGGGTACCATCATATTTGACCTTATGACCTTGACCTTGGAGTTTGACCCACTTTTGCAAAATTTTATGAGACATTAACCTTGGAAATAACTTCTGAACAGTTGGTGCTTGGGGTTTCAAACTTCACATGTGTATTCTTTGTGACAAGATCTTTCATTTGGATACCAACAACTTTGACCTTTTGACCTTGAACTTGGAGTTTTACCTACTTTTGAAAAACTTTAACCTTGGCCATAACTTTTGAACAGTTGGTGCTTGGGGTTTCAAACTTCACATGTGTATTCCTTGTGACAAGACCTTCTTCTGGATATCAACCTCTTTGACCCTTTGACCTTGACCTAGGAGTTTGACCTACTTTTGAAAAACTTTAACCTTGGCCATAGCTTTTGAATTATTGGAGCTAGGGCTTTCATACTTCACATATATAATCCTTGTGACAAAACCTTCCTTTGGATACCAACCACTTTGACCTTTTGTCCTTGACCTAGGAGTTTGATCTACTTTTGAAAAACTTTAACCTTGGCCATAACTTTTGAATGGTTGGAGCTAGGGCTTTCATACTTCACATACGAATCCTTGCGACAAAACCTTCCTTTGGATACCAACCACTTTGACCTTTTGTCCTAGACCTAGGAGTTTGACCTACTTTTGAAAAACTTTAACCTTGGTCATAACTTTTGAATGGTTGATGTTAGGGCTTTCATACTTCACATATGTAATCCTTGTGACATCACCTTCCTTTGGATACCAACCACTTTGACGCTTTGACCTTGACCTAGGAGTTTGACCTACTTTTGAAAACCTTTATCCTTGGCCATAACTTTTGAATGGTTGGAGCTAGGGCTTTCATGCTTCATATATGTAATCCTTTTGACAAGACCTTCCTTTGGATACCTCAACTTTGACCTTGACATTTACTTACTTTAAAAAAAAACTTTAACCTTCGCCATAACTTTTGAACAGTTGCAGCTAGGTCTTTCAAATGTCACAGGTATATTCCTCGAGACAAGACCTTTCTTTGGGTACCAACATTTTTTTATCGTTTGGCCTGGATTTTGACTTGCATTTGAGAAACTTTAACCTTCGCCATAAGCTGCCATACGGGGGCATCAGTGTTTCACAAACACATCGGTTTATCTTTTTTTTTTTATCTTTTTTTTTTTTTTTTGGCCATAGCATAATTATTGCCGAGAGAATTTTTCCGCAAAAATTTTGATTGTCATAATTCTATACGTTTCAATAATTAGAACTTTGCTCCATGTATAGATATATGATAGTATATGTATCTACATGCATGTTTCTAGGTATTCACCACTATCGATTTCTTAAATTTAACACATTTAGCACTTGAACCATAGTAATATTGATTCATTTCATTCTGATTTTATTTCTAATTGTCAGGTGTCCAATTTAGATAATCATCACCGCTTTTATTTTCGGGAGGTTCGGATCGATATCACCCGCGGTTTATGATTTACATAGACCGAAATTTAATCGTAAGATACACTACTGAATTACTTGGTATAGTTTGTGATTTTATTTCAGTCTTTAATACACCCGAATCTCATTAGGTAATGAATTGATATAGATATAGTCATATTTAAAAAATCCAAAATAATCCTCAAATGAAAGTAGAAATTATTGATCTAAATAAATTCTCGTCCTCCATAGAAAATCATAGATTATTTCCGCGTCTACAGACGAAAAGAAAGCAATTGTTTTAAGTGAAATGTGAAACATAATTTAAATAAAGTAAAAATTATGGCTAAGTATACGGGAATAATGACATACCTTTAGCCTGCAGCCATGGATTGGACACGATCCGATAGGTACAATCCAGGAATTGTGTGATCGATTTTGTTATGTACAATCGTCAATAAATGCTGGTGATGTTCAAATGAAGCGGGTACAGTACTGTCGCAGATCTAGAGATGCAGAGTCAACAGCAGACAACTTATCGTACAAAAAAAAATATACAGTTTTTTTTTTTATTTATTTCATTATATGATTAAATAACTCCCATCTCTCTGATTGGCTGAGATTCACATTGTAGAAAAAAAATATTCACCTGCACGTGACCTTCCAGGTGAAGGGCGAGGTGAATATTGAACTTCAATGACAGAGAGAG